TCCAAGGAGTGTCTCTTTGTGCCTTGTTAAACGGCGTTGTAGAACTCAAGGCCTCTGGTACTTACCTCCTGGGCTTTGCTCAGTTTGTGGGTGGAAAGGAACACCGGTCAAGATTTTAATGGTGCTCTGCCGCTGGAGCCACACCTCCAGCCCTGCTTTTTGCTGGTTACTTTGGAGGTGGATTTTTTTGGGGGGGGTCCAGTCGTGGGGCCTGTACTCAGGGCCTGGGCGCTGTCCCTCAGCTCTTCAGCTCAAGGCTAGCGCTCTGCCACTTGAGCCACAGCGCCACTTCTGGTTTTCTGTTGGTTACTTGGAGATAAGAGTCTCATGGACTTTCCTGCCCGAGCTGGCTTTGAACCGCAATCCTCAGATCTCAGCCTCCTGAGTAGCTAGGATGACAGGTGTGAGCCACCGGGGCCCAACAGGATTTTTTTCTTTTCTATTCTGTAACATGATCCTCCGGATCTCAGCTTCCTGACTGGGAGTGTTAGCCAGCTGAGCCTGGCCTCCCAGGTTTTTGGGGTTCCCCTCCTTTCTTCCTGCAGTGCCAGGGCTGGAACCTAGCAAGGCCACTGTTGTACCACGCAGCCGCACCTCAGCCCTGTTCCTAACTTTCGGGTTTGAGATTGTTGTGCTGTTGGTCCCTAGTTACATTAAGGAGTAGGTGAGGGAGAATTTGGTAAATTAATACTCAACGCTGGATGTGTTCTACAGGTATTCCTATTTGAAGAGAGGGAAACTGAGGCAGAGACCTGTTAAGCTCTGAGCACCAGATCAGGCATGTTCGTGCAGGGCCCCCGAGACGCAGCCTCTGGCACCCAGGCGGATTCCATCACGTCTGGCTTTCTTCCTTACCCCAGGTCCTGCCGCCACCCCTGGTGCCTGTGGTACCCCTGAGTCTCGTGGGCAGTGCCAATAACCCCAGCAGGAGAGAAGACAGTCTGAGACTGCAGGGACCCCCAGCCTCTCCCATGCCCGCAGGGAACCCTGCTGCCCCCACCAAACCAGCAGGTAAGATGGGGCAGGGGGAGTTGGGGCATGTCTAGAGACTTCTGGGAGATTCCTAGACTTCACTGTGGGTAGGAAGAAGTGGAAGTCCGAATTTTAATGGGAAGTTCCACTCATGAGAGGATTTGAGGAAATGAGCCTCTTATTTTGATGGGGGGGACAAAAAGATGGCACTCTTATTCTGATAAAAAGGGGAAAAAAATAAACAGATCAGGCTGGTAATACAGCACAGTGGTAGAGTGCCTGTACACAAGGCCTTGGCTCCATCTTCATTACCACAGATGCGCGTGCACATGCACACACACACACACACACACACACACAGAGCTAAGCTTTGTGTGTCTACACCAGTACTGGGGTTTGAACTCAGGCCCTTGCACTCACTTGGCTTTTTTCCACCAGCTGGCATGTTATCTCTTGGGCCATACCTCTGGATCCAGCTTTTGTTTTTGCTGTTAAATGGGTTTTTTTCCTGTGTGGGCTAGTTTCAAATTTTGATCCTCAGATCTCAAGACTCTTGAATAGCTAGGACTTCAAGTGAGTGGTACAAGTCACCCAACAAAGATCAGGTGTGTGAATAGTTTAAAAAAAAAAGAATTCGAGGAGTCAATCATATTTTGGCGAGGGCACAGACGATTTAGGACTGCTACTCTGGTGAGTTGGTTCAGACTTCTACTCTGGTAAGGAGACCACAGATGTTGTTTGAGAGTCCCAGACTTCCTATTTGCCCTGGTGAGAGAAGAGAGACTGGAAGATCTTCCTTAGGTTAGGAAATGGCTGCTGGTGCTCTTATTTTTAGGGTGAGGGATGTGGAGAGACAGTACTCTTATTTGGGTGAGGGGATCAATACATCCTGAAATCTCATTCCAACAAGGGAATGGTTGGTCCCAGTGTCCTGACATACCCCCAACTCTGTGTCCATAGGTCCCTGGCGTGACTGTGCAGAGGCCCACGAGGCCGGACACAGGCAGAGCAGAGTGTACGAGCTCCGGCCGGGCCGCCAAGGGTTTGCAGCCTGGTGTGAGCAGCAGCTGGAGGGTGGCGGGTGGACGGTGATCCAGCGCAGGCAAGATGGCTCCGTCAACTTCTTCACTACCTGGCAGCAATACAAGGTGGGCTTTGGGCGGCCTGATGGGGAATACTGGCTGGGCCTCGAACCCATCTATCAGCTGACCAGCCGCGGGGACCACGAGCTCCTGGTGCTGCTGGAGGACTGGGGGGGGCGTGGGGCTCGCGCCCACTACGACAGCTTCTCCCTGGAACCCGAGAGCGACCACTACCGCCTGCGGCTGGGCCAGTACCGGGGCGATGCCGGAGACTCGCTTTCCTGGCACAATGACAAACCCTTCAGCACCGTGGATAGGGACCGAGACTCCTATTCTGGTAAGGAGGACTTTTATTCTGGTGGGAGGGCGGGGGAGGTGGGGCTTTACTCTGGAGGGGGAAAATGAAGAGCAGTGGAGAGCCAGGGACCTTGTAAGATGAGTGTCAGGACTGGAATCCGGAGCTGTGGCGGCCTGGGGTGGCAGCTTGGGGGTCTTACACAGGTGTACGTGCTCAATCACCTCGTTACACACTGCCCCCCCCCCAGCCCAGAATCTTATTCTAGGAAGTGGTGAAAAAAGTATATATTTATGCTGGGTGCTGGCGGCTCACGCCTGTCAGCCTAGCTACTCAGGAGGCTGAGATCGGAGGATCACGGTTCAAAGCCAGCCTGGGTAGGAAAGTCCCTCAGACTCCTATCTCCAACGGACCACCAGAAAACCGGAAGTGGTGCAGTGGCTCAAGTGGTAGAGTTCTAGCCTTGAGCAAAAAAGAAAAGCTCAGGGCCAGTTCTCAGGCCCTGAGTTCAAGCCCCACCTCGGGGGCTTTAGTATCCGTATCTACATGTCTATATATTCATATGGCGCGTGAGTACTTTGAGTTTGAACTGAGTATCTGGGCGCTGTTCCGAAGGTTTTTTTTCCCCCCACTCAAGGCTAGCTCTCTAGGAAGTGGTGCGAAATTTAATTTCCCTAACGAACAGTGAAAGACTCCCCTGCTCGGCAGAAAAGGTGGGAAGAGGGTATGACTCGGGTGAAGATAGGGAAAATGAAAGCTGGTACTCTGAAGGAAAAAGTGGGCCATGAGGGCTTTTATTTTGGTGAGGAGATGGAGGGAAACCAGGCTTCATCAGGTTGCAAACTGGGGGGGGGAGGGAAGGAGGGGAATGAGGGAGGTCGGGCTAAAAAAAGCCTTTGCCCCCCATGAAAGTGCTAGGAAGCGGACTTTTATTCTGGTGAGGGAACACGGCCTCTCTCTGCCCTTCCAGGTAACTGCGCCCTGTACCAGCGCGGGGGCTGGTGGTACCACGCGTGCGCTCACTCCAACCTCAACGGCGTGTGGCACCGGGGCGGCCACTACCGGAGCCGCTACCAGGACGGGGTGTACTGGGCCGAGTTCCGCGGAGGGGCGTACTCGCTCCGCAAGGCCGCCATGCTCATCCGGCCTGTCGGGCCGTGACGCCGTGTTCTGGGGGGGGACTGTGTGTGTGGCGGGGGGACACGTCCCCCTCCATCCTGACCAACCCGGCCACCTTTCCTTTTGTGTGAGTTAGCGAAAAAGAAAAAAAAAAGAGAGAGAAGAAAACCCACCAAAAATAAAAGGGGGGCCGGGCGCCCCCAGCTCGAAGGTGCCCGCGGTCCGGGGGCTGAGCGCGGATCTGTC